CGTCTTCTGAGCACTTTCTGCCTCATTATAAGCCCGGCGCAATTACTTTTTACGCCCGGCGCAGTGTCTTCCAGAGGCTTTCAAGCATTCTCTGCCTTAGAGCAAGCCCGGCGCAATTCTCTATTAAGCCCGGCGCAATTCGTTCCAGAGAGTTTTGAGGTACTCTCTGCCTCGATCACGCCCGGCGTGGTGGAGTCTCGCGCCCGGCGCATGTATGACTTCCAGAAGTCCACTGCTCTGTTCTTCTCAAGCCCGGCGCGGCGTCATCTTGCGCCCGGCGCAGCCACTCTGCTCTGCTCCTTGGCTCCTTATGTTTCCAATCCCAAAGATCTTCAATCCTCAAATCTCTAGCTCAATACCTGCACAAAAAATGAGGTGTATTAAGGTATTGTTAGCTAAAATGGGTTAGCTATATCTGCACAAAAGATGAATCAAAAAGGGAACAATTATCTTGCAATGGTGTTAAGAATGAGTAGAATTGTTCAATAAATCTCATTCAAAAAGAGGTATAATTGAGACTTAACAATGTTATTTTCATTGAACTGTTTTAAAAATCTCAATTTCTTTCCTTTGTAATTTTCGCATTAGAGATATTGTTTATGAGTTTGTGAATGTGAATTCTTTACGTAAGATATTTGAGATTCTAGTTTTATTTATAAAAGATTTTAATTATTCCTATTTATTGTGTAGCTATGAATGTCGGGTAGAGGGTGTCACAATAAGAATTAATTAATGCAACTCGCAATTTATAGAGAATCTTATAAAAAGGGACAAACAAAAATAAAGAAAAAACGGCTTATATATAAAGACTAGGTAGCATACATATAACAATCTATGAAAATATTTTTTTAATTTTTTTTTGTGTATTTTGATTAAACTTTTACTTTGATTAAAAGTCATATTTAAAATAATTTTAGATTAATTGATAGTGTAACTTTTTTCCATAAATAATGAAAGAATTTTTCTCGTTATTTTGACGCCTGGTTATTTTCTGTTCCGACCTTAGAAAAGTTTGAAAAACTATGCTTAATTACGTTATAAAATATGAAAAGATAAATGTTAATTAATCGTATTATTTAAAGATCCAAATAAAGAAAATTTCCACAACTATGGAGTAATAGAGGACAGATTGTATTTTTAGTTTAATTAATGTTGTCAAATTAGAGTGGCAAATATGTATGTATGTTAAGAGTAATAAAAAGTGTGCACGAGAAAAACAGGTCAATTTTTCAACGCCTATATACTAGTTACAGTGAATTAAAATAGTGTAGTTGCAAAATCATAATTCTAACTTTGCCTATATAACCAGAAATTCTTACATTGTGTTGTTCTATTATACTTCAGTCAATTTCCACGGATGAGTTTTATCCTTTTATTAACTCTCTCGTAACTGAAAAACTGGGTTATGTGTGATGGCCACGTGCTAACATCGACGAAAATAAGTCAATTAAAGTCGGAGAACGTAGGATCACAAGAAAGACTCAGGAGACAACAGAACCAAACACAAGATCTCATTCTACTTCATTTTTTTTCGTTTGTGCTTATCTTTTTTGAGTGAAATGATGATATCCATGTTAAGGTTTTGCAATTCCTAGTTTGTTCACGTTCAGGATTCCACATTTAAATAAGGTTCATAATCCCCTACCATTACATAATTGCGTACGGTCTGTTCTATCGTCTTAGGTAAGATAGTCTCAACTTTCATGGTTCTATGTTTATCTATATTTGCATGCATATTTTTCATAGGTTCTTATGTGTGTGTTCTTTTTTTTCTTTTTTTTTTTCCCTTCCCATCATCCTAGAGTTGGGTTTGCTTTCATTGATAATAATGAATTCTGGGCTTGCAAATGCAAATTGTTATGTTTCACATTATTTAAATGTAATGGGTTTTATTCTCAGTATTATCATTGTCATTTATTCCTGTTTCTCAGTATGAAGAGAAACATCATCACCCTGACGTTATTCTGAGGTCCGTTTTGCTAATAACTTTTGACCAATTTGTCCCTTTTTTTAGTCATTGCTTAATAATCATGTATCATTTAGTATTGATTTTTCAATGGTGTCACACTGACTTATTTTATCATTTTTGGTATTCACTTCTTCTATACCTTTTCACTCATGGCGAAAGGGAAACTTTTCACTTGGGTTTTGGTGAAGATTCCTGTGTGCTTTTCGAGCATTTTTTCTTTCTCTCTTCCGTGTACCGGTTTTGTTATTATAATGAGAAAGTGACTTTTAGATTCCACATATAAGGGATCCTTTGTTTCTGTTAGGTGTAGCTATCATGCGGTTGGTTTGTATTCCAATACTGATTGAAGTTTGAAATTAAGGGTCATTACCATGTTATAAAACTTTATATGTTCTTGTGTGATTGCAAAATGTAGGTTAAAATGTCATTTTTTAATTGCATTACTAGCTCTGAATAGTTTTGCGTTTTCCTTTTATAAATTTAGGAGAGCTTGTAAGGCTTCTCTGTTGCATTTCTGCAGTGCTACATTAATTCATTATTATGATTTTAACTATCGCATTGTTTACCAAGAATTGTGAACGGAGCTTCATGAACTCACATATTCATTCCTTAGCTAAACCTCTCTTTGCAATTCCTACTCATAAGCACACTCAAATACATTACACATTTATAACATGAAATCCACGATAGCAGCCTGTTCAATTTTCCTGTATGTTATGCTGATTATTTGTTCACTCATTTCCAGCACCCTACAAACGTGTAGCAGAGAACAAAGAAGCAGAAAATAGTAAATCTGGTATATGATACCATGGAAAATGGCATAGAATCACATGATGTGGCAGAAGATAGATTATATACAGAAGATGGGACACTTAACATTCACAAAAATCCTGCCAGCAAGAAAAAGACTGGAAGATGGAAAGCATGCCGCTTTATACTTGGTATTGGATCTTTTAATTCTTACTTTTATTTCCATACCATCTCAGATATGCATATTTCTGTATTAAAATCACACTAAGATCAAGGTGGTCTAACTCAGTTAGTTGAATTAAGTGTCTGAATTATTATAAACTTGTTTAGTACCGAGTTCGATTCATACATATAAAGAAAAATAATGTCACTAAGGTGCTGAAAAAAATTATGGCAGGGAATGAGTGCTGTGAAAGATTGGCGTACTATGGCATGAGTACAAACCTAGTGAACTATCTGCACACCCGTTTCCACCAATCAAATGCAACTGCTGCAAATAATGTCACAACCTGGTCAGGGACATGCTACCTCACCCCATTACTTGGAGCATTTTTGGCTGATTCATATATGGGAAGATACTGGACAATTGCTAGTTTCTCAATTATCTATGTCATTGTAAGTTCAGATGAAGAGCAATCATTTTTGTTTGTTGAAGTCTATGTTATGATAAATGAATTTAATATGCACATACTCTTCATAGTGTGAGTTCATGTTGGAAAACCACCTTAAATATGGTCACCCCTGACTTGTCTTAATTGAAGCTTCTTTGGACTATCCTAATTGCGGTGTTGAAATAGTATGTTTAGTAGATAAAATTTAAGAGTATCTCTAATGTAGAATTTTTGTGATGTATCTTACTAATAAACAATGATATTTATTAACAACTTTCATTAGAATATAATGATATGACACAAGAAATTGTTTAAAAATAAGTAACAACTCTTAAATAAATAAGGTTGTTGAGAATACAAATCACTCCCACAAATCAAAAAAATTATTTATTATGTTTAATTAAATTAATATTTAATTATAATATTTACCTTAATTTTTTAAATTGTCAAAAAGTGAAGTAAAAAATATAAAAAAAATTTATATAAGTTGCTTATAAGATCTCACCATTAGAGTAAAATTTATAAAAAAAAATGTAATGTGCATTGTTTAAAAATGATGTAACATGGTGGATTCCACTAAAAGTAAAATAAAAACCTTGTAAGTTACTTATGAAAACCACCATTGAAAATGTTGTTACTAATGTTGATAAAATTTAGATAATTTTCACCTTACAAACTAGTTGTCAAATTAGACATACTTGTTTTTTACTATAAAATAATGTAGTTAATTTTATCTTTTCATCATTTATTCCATTTAAAAATTTAAAAATTTCAAGAAATTGAACTAATGTTATACATATATTGTGTTTCAGAACATTATTATAAGGGAAAAATATAAACTAATAGGAGGGTAAGCCCTACTAATGGTGCTTGTTTGTTTACTTTCTAGGGAATGACACTTCTTACATTTTCTGCTATTGCCCCTGGATTAAAGCCTTCATGTGATGCTAATGGTTGTCATCCAACATTAGGACAAACTTCAGTTTGCTTTATAGGACTCTACTTGATTGCTCTTGGAACTGGTGGTATTAAACCATGTGTCTCATCTTTTGGTGCTGACCAGTTTGATGAAAATGATGTCACTGAGAGGAAAATGAAGAGCTCTTTCTTCAATTGGTTTTATTTGGTTATAAACATTGGTTCACTCGTTGCTTCCTCAGTGTTAGTCTGGATACAAACGAATGTGGGTTGGGGATGGGGATTTGGAATACCTGCTGTAGCAATGATCATTGCAATTATATTTTTCTTCTTTGGTAGTAAATGGTACAGACTTCAACTACCTGGAGGTAGTCCCCTTACAAGGATCTGTCAAGTTATTGTGGCAGCATGCAGGAAAGCTGGGAAACAAGTGCCAGATAATAAGTCTCTTCTTTATGAGACTGCAGATGCAGAGTCTAACATCAAAGGGTGCCGCAAACTTCAACACACAAATACGTTAAAGTGAGTTTTCTAAATCATGTTTGCATTTTTATTGTTTGCAAGAATAGTGATATTCATCCACTAATTAGGTGAAAGAGAGATAGAGGAACTCTACAAGTATATGAATATCATTGTTAACATTAAAAGCATCAATGATTCAATGGTGAAACTGAAATATCAACTTTTTCTCCTCATGTTTTATGATTTTTTAAAATTTTGTCACCCAACTTTTGATTTTACACACTTTGTTTCTTAATTTTCAAAATTTCACACAATTTTTTATCTCATTAATTAATTATTTGATGCGGTAAATTAACCATTAATATAACACGTTTAATGTTTATATGATATATTGACCATTGATGTGATACATTTACCGTTAATATTAATTTCTCATATGATATATAAATGATGTAACATAATATTTCATATTAATAATTAATGTGTTACATTAACACACAACTAATAAGGTGACATAATGTACAAAAATTCGAAAGTTAAATGAAAAAAATGTATGATTCAAAAGTTTGATAGCAAAATTCACTAAATTACAGTAGACAAATGATAAATAGTACAATTAAGTCTTTCATGTTTTATTTGAGTATTAGAGAAAGTTGTTGATTCCAGGTTTTTGGACAAGGCAGCAATAGAGGCAGAACCAGAGCACAGCACTAGTTGGCCAAACTCATGGAGGCTGTGCACAGTGACACAAATTGAGGAGCTGAAATCCGTAATCCATCTGCTCCCAGTTTGGGCATCCCTGATAGCTTTTGCAACAGTGTACAGCCAAATGAACACCATGTTTGTGTTACAAGGCAACACAATGGACCAACACATTGGCCCCAACTTCAAAATCCCCTCAGCATCCCTCTCTCTCTTTGACACTCTCAGTGTCATCTTCTGGGCCCCCATCTACGACCGCATCATTGTGCCCTCAGCAAGAAAGTTCACTGGCCATGAACAAGGATTCTCACAGCTCCAACGCATAGGCATTGGCCTAATCATCTCCATCATCTCCATGATAGTTGCCGGCATTTTGGAGGTTGTTCGCCTTCACATGGTCAGAAGAAACAACTACTATGATCTCGAAACCGTTCCCATGTCGATATTCTGGCAAGTGCCTCAGTACTTCATTGTAGGAGCTGCTGAGGTTTTCACCAACATTGGCCAAATGGAGTTCTTTTATGGACAGGCACCTGATGCCATGAAAAGCTTGTGTGCAGCTTTGTCACTCACTACTACTGCATTGGGAAATTATGCGAGTACTTTGCTTCTTTTCATTGTCACAAAAATCACCACAACCCATGGAAGGATTGGTTGGATCCCAGATAATCTTAATAGGGGCCATCTTGATTACTTCTTCTGGCTTTTGAGTGTTCTTAGCTTGCTCAACTTCCTTGTGTATCTCTGGATTTCTAACCGATATACATACAAAAGAACTCGACACTAAATTCTTGTTGAGTAATCAAGTATCTTATTTTAGTGATTATAAAACTTGTTTTAAGACATGAGATCGATTTGATGATCGATTATTATTAGTGTAAATAATATTTTATCAATAAAAGTCATGTTCAATAAATACAAATTAATCTTTAATTGTTAATTTAGAATATTGTATAGATCAAAATAAAATTCTCATTGAGATTTTGCTACATTGGATTTCTGGTCCAGTTGTATATTGGCATTAGGCATCAGCATCTTTCTCGAAGATGTTTAATTGTGTTTGTATAGATTGGTCTTATGGTTCATTTCTACATTGCCGTCAATTACCATCATTCTCGTAGATGTTTAGTTGTATTTGTGTAGATGCTGTTTGGATGTGTTGAAATAAAGAATGTAATATTTAAGGTTCCTTATAAATGTTCTTCGCTTCATATGTTCTGCTATTGGGGTTATGAATCTAGACTTGTGCGTGGAAATATTTTGGGACATTGGGTTGTCTAACCTCCTTATTCACCTTTGAATGTTTGGGTAAATTTATTAAAGTTTTTCTAAGAATAAAAAAAAAAAAAAAAATGAAATAAATTTCTTTATGAATTAAAATTAGTTCATGCATAAGTTAGTTTGTAAAATCTTTCTTATTTATTTTTTTAAAGTCTTGTTTTTAATTTATATATAAACTAGTTTTAGAGAAATTTATTTTAATTTTTATTCGTATTTTTTTCTTCTAGAAGTCATTATGTAGAAACTTATCCAAAAAAACCTAATTAATGCAACTTGACTACTTCTGGTGGCAACCTTTGCTGAAGCTCCAAACTGGCTTTGCTCTCTCAAACGAATATATTTATAGATACATATAAAGGACGATACGATAAGTGCATAGCATAAGAAAAATGTATAATGGTTATTAATAAAAAGAAGTTATCTTTGACCAAAGCTCAATCTCGTAACAAATAGTTAAATTGGAACAATTTTGTATGAATTGCTCTATAAATTTTAGTGGTTAACTATCATAGGTTGATAATTAGTTTTTATATTCGTTATAATGACAAAAGAAAAAGACGGATTAGTACATGACTTTGAGATGAAATGAATAAGTTGTGACCGTTAAAAATAGCTTGTTGGACTCATAATTTGATAGGATTAAATATTTTCAATTTATCGATTTTTGTTTAGCTTTTAAACAAATTTTCTTTAATTTTGGACTTCAAAATTTTTTTACATGAACAAAAAGTTTTGACATCAAAGATCAAAATGTTAAAAAAAAACAAAAGAATTATAAACTAAAAATAAAAATTGATAAAAATTAAAAAATTTAAATTAATAAAAAATTGTTAAAAATAAAAATAAAAATTTACAACAGTTCATGGATTAAATATATTTAATCCTTTCTCTTAAATTATTATAGGATTTTCCATGAATGTTATTACTGGCTTGGTACCATTGTGTTGAATGAGTACCAGCTAACCACCAGAAGAAAAACTCCCAAATTCAACGCACTCAACACAGCCAAGAGCCAGAAAAAATAGTGAAGATGGCCATAGTTCAAGATATTTTAGGAAACCAAAAAACTTGTCTTTATTAATTGAAATGTCATTAGAGACTGCAGAGACCTGATGTGCAGTCTCTAATGGTCTTAAAAAATATTAGAAACAACTACTAGTTTAGACTCAAATTGAAATAATATTAGAGACTAGCTAGTTTTTCATTTGCTATTAATTTATTGAAACTGATGAGAATTAATTCACCATTTTTATTTATTTATAAAAACTGGTCCACTTTCTATTGTAGCAATTGATCACATCAAGTACGTTAAATAAAATACCACTTATATATTATTATATTATTATTATATTATTATTATTATTATTTAATTATAAATGTTGTATATTATTATGAGAAAATACTACTAATGCACATTGTATTTTTTCTCTCTCTCTATATAAGAGAGATATATTTACCTTCAACTACTTTTGATCTCTACTTTATTAAAAAAGTTTTACCTTTAAATGTTCTTGTTTGCTTTTTCTAATCTTTTGTTTAGGAACTTTTGTCTGTGCAATTTTTCATCAACTGTTAAATAAAATACACAGAGAAACGACATGTTTCTTCTTCACAAGTAATTATAACACTAAAATAATAAGAAGAATAATATAAATAATATTCATAAAATATAAACAAATAATAGTAAACTATTTGCATAAACTATTCTATATAATAAATAATTATCATATATGTATTAAATAATTATTCTGTATATAATAAATTCGTTATATATATATATATAATAAATAACTATTATAAAGTTAAAATAATAAAGAAAATATAAATAATACTAGCTAATAAAATATATGCATAAATTAAAAAAGAAATGTGACATACATTGTTGATATATTCATTGAAAATTCATAAACATGAATTATATATCTTTTACAAGGTAGGAAAAGCTCCACCAGTGCTTCTCGAGCCAGTGCAGGAGTTGAGTAGAAAATTGGGATAACTTAGAGAGCAACTAAGCTTATTATGTCTATCAACAATACCTGTCATTGTAGCTTCATTTAAGGTTAGGGAGAATTTTCTGGACCAAGTTAGTGCTTGTTATATTCGATGCCCTTTTCTTTTGGGACTTGCATAATACATTAATTAGAATTTACTAATATATATGTAGAGTTCAACACAAAATGAAAAGGTATTGGGTGAAAGGAAAATAAAGCGATACAAGAGTCAGTTTCTAAATAAGTGATACATTGAATATAATAAGATATCTTAGTATAGTTTTCTTTTTGAGTTTAAACATCTTTACAAGCAAGAGAACATATATTATACATCGAATTTGGTGGCCTGTATTTTCACCTTTGTTTGCTACACATTTATATAAATATAACATGCACCATAATATAACTAAGGAAAAGGACTACACGAAATGGCTTTCTACTTTATCAATCACAGTAGCATGGACCTTGGAAATTTTAGTGCCTCAGACGCACCCAATGGGATCCATGTCCTCGTGGTTCTAAATTATGATTGCGGTTCCAAAATTTCAACTAACTTAGATTAGTTGAGTCCCTCTCTCTCCTAACATTCTATATATGTGACCATACTTATTATAATAATAGAGGGTTAAAGTTTGAATATATATTTAATTTTTTGAAAAAAGTGAATAAAATTATTGGTTGCATATTTTTTACAATTGCATCATAGAATTTCTTACTTTTGTGAGTAGTACCACATCAACATTTTTACTCAGCACAATGACAATATTGAGTTATAGCTTTTGTAGGTATGAGAATGAGACAGCTACTTTACATTAATTAGTGATAAGAGTAAAATAAAATATATAAATAAATAATAATATTTATTTTATAAATTGATTTTTGGAAGATTGAGATATATCTAAATTCATATTCTAAAACTTTGCTTTCAGTTTTGCACATTGTCTGACAATGAATGAACATTAGTAAATGGAATGAAAATGAGCAACATTAATTTTGAAAATTAAACAAAAATATCATCTAAAGTAGGAAGTTTATATTACAGCTGCTCATTGTTTTGTGTTATACCTTTTCGAAAACTTATTTATATTTTCCGAAAATAATCTTAGTTAAGAATTCAGTTCAACTTCTAGTTTATTATAAATATTCATATTTTCTATTTTCAATGAATGAACATTAGTTAATGGAATGAAAATAAGCGATATTAATTTTGAAAACATAGGTTTCTATTACCACTTCATTGTTTTCTGTTATTTCTTTTCAACAATTATTTTTATTTTCCGAATGTAATCTTGGTTAAGAATTCAGTTCAACTTCTATATTTTGTTGTCAATATTCATATATTATATTTCTAGTTAATAAATCATATATTAATTAATGTTAAACAAACAAAGGCAGCATGATCTAAATTATTTTATGTAACCTTAATTATCATATGTATGGAAATCAATTAGGTTGCTTTTTAAGATTAATTAATCAATGGAGATGGCAAAAAAAGGCAAGTAAATATAAGTAATTATTTGCTTCTAAGAAATTATAGTTTTGGTATGAATGTTATTTGTTATTTATGGATAAGAGTCTTAAGAATGTAGGTTATCCATCAAATTTATTTTGAATAGTTATCTCATAAAGTGTGGTTGTCCTCATTTATATATTATTTTTGTTATATCATTACTTAATGTTATATCTTCAATTTATATTCTTATATCAAAGACCTAATATGTCAAATGTGAAGTTAGAAGATTGAACAGTATTTACAAATTGTTTGATTGCAGCTCTAGAGTGAAAGATACGATAAGCCCAATAAAAATATTTATGATAAATTTTGATATTATCTTAAAATTAAATGTGAGTTATAATCTAAAAAAGGTGTATTTGATTAAAATTTTAAAGGGCATTATTTTTAGTTAAAAAAAATTCCTATGAATTTTAAAAGATTTGAAAGATTTTTATGACTTTTAAGACTTTATAGGATTTTGTAAGACTTTAAATCAAAATTTTAATAGATTCTAAGACTTTTAAGTTAGAATTTTAAGACTTTTAATGGATTCTGCGAAATTTTGTAAACTTTGCAAAATTTCGTGGATTGACATACGATAAAAGTTCAAGATTTTTTTCATACATTCAAATTTAAAAGAGTCAAAGACAAATTTTTAAATTTTTAATTGCTTTCAATTAATCACTCGCGAAGAAATATTTTTAGTATTAAATTCTAAGATACCACAATATCTTATGTTAATTTCCTTTTAAAAATATAAAAATCTAAATTTCACAATATAAAAATAAAAAAAAATTCATAGTAAAAAAAGAAATAAAATATTTTTTGAGTCATAAAAAGAGGAAGAATAACGGTAACAAACTCAAGGAAGGAAGAGAGATCGTTGTTTTTGTGCTGAGAGGGTTCTTCCCCTAACTAAGATCCATTCTCATCTCATTCTATTTACAGAAACCCTAACTCAAATTAATCTTATATATATATATATATATATATATTGTAGAGATTATTTCAACTTTCACCTTTCCTTTTTCTTGATGTGTGTTATAAAAAAATTATTACTTAAAAGTTGAAATTTCAAACATTTTCTTTGTTAT